TGATCAAGGTCGTCTTCCGGCTCATGTGGTGGATTCTTGCTTGCATAAGTGTCAAAATAAATAACAATATGTCATAGAATGTTCAAGAAAAAGTTGTTAGAAGAGATGATATTCAGTCAATCTTAAGTTTGATCTAATGGTATATTATCTCAAGATTCTAGACTCAACAATGAAAAGGTGAAATAATATACATGAATAACTGTAATAAATAAATCTTAATCAATAAACAATATTTGTGAATTACTTATTGCAATTTTTTTTATTCTTTCCTTCATTTTTACTTATGTTCCTTTTATACAATAGCAAATTTTCTTTCAAATCAAATTAATAATGATGACACCAATAAGTTAATAGATCCAAATGAAAAAATACCAATGACAAAAATATCAAAAGTTAGAAAAGAATTTGTATGAGTTTAGTAACACATTCCACAAAACAAATGCAACTTGATTCTTGTTTAATTAAAAAAAATTCACTCTTATATAAAATTAGGTAAAACATTTCATTTTCAAATTTAAATGAGAATGACAAGTAAAATAGTCTCGAGCAAAAGTAATAACGTTGAAATTAATATAAATTTCAATTCATGTTTTTATTAATTATTAAGATCTGGATGCACTAGTTAATTGTTTTATTTAATAAAAAATATTAAAAAAATACAACATTTAAATATATTGCTCAACCTCAAATATATGAATTCTATTTATGTACTAGATTATCTCAATTTAATCATTAGTCAAACGATCGAATCTTAAATATATAATTATGTTAAATATTTAGAGAAAAAATTATGTTGTCTATAAATAATCTTACGCGATTCAAGTAGAATTGCAGACTAAAGTAGAAGAAAAAAATTCAGTTTATATTTTGCAAACCAAGTTTAGAGATACACTTTTATTTTTATCATTTACCCATTTTGCTATTGATTTTCCTCTCCTAAGACATGAGAAAATATGAGAAATCAAGCAAATGGGTAGACTCGAGTATGAAATCAGTATAAAAATATAGAACTTCAACGAGACCATATTTGTCATAGCATTTGGGCCATAGTTTTGAACACCTTTTTGCACAATCTAGTGGAAAACTCCTCACTTTATTTGGACATGATAGCCAGCTCGTTCAACACAAGACTCTCAACACACTAAGACCAAACGTACAACCAATAAATTTAAGAGTTAATCATCTATACATTGTTAGTGTAAATTTTTTTACAATAACAATTAATTAGATCTTTTAATTGTGTCATGTCATTATAAACACATTTACTTTTAACAGTGACATGACATAATTAAAAGATCTAATTAAAAGAAAGAAAGATGATACACTTCTTCATGTTATTTTTTTAAAAAAAAATATGCCTCTTTTTTTGTCATTTTTTTTCAAAAAATTTCAAAATATACTTTTTAATTAATTTTCTATTTTAATAAACTTTATTGTTAAAGTTTTTTTTCTTTCAATTCACTCCCTTTCTTCACCTTTCTTCTTCTTCTACTTCATTTCTCTCTAATCATTTTCCTTGTCTTTTTTCTTTATATTTTGATTTTCAATTCCTCACTTTAGCAGTCAAGGTATTTATATGTCATCTTTATACTTTTTAAATCTTATTTTTTCAATCTTAACTTCATCGTTCTTTAAACTAATTTTCATTCCATCTTTATTATTCCCTACATTAATTATAGAGTGTGACTTATGCACAATAGGTAATTAATCATATAAAAAAAAAGATAATTTGGTTAAACTTTTTCCAAAGATTTAAGTTTATAAGCTATGCTTTCGTTGATTTCAAAATGAATTTGTTATTTTTTTTAATCTTTTAGAAAGCAGTTTCTAATTATTTTTTTAGCACTCCCAAAAATATTTTTCAAAATATTAAATTTTATATTCCACAAAGTACTTTCAAGAAGTATAAAAAAATACTTATAAAAAATATATTTTCCTTATACTTCTAAGAAAATACTTTTCGGGACAATAAATTTAATGTTTCAAAAAATACTTTTCAAAAGTATAAGAAAACATATTTCCAAATATTACTTTATAGAGATGTTTTTTTTTCATACTTTAGAAGGGAGCTTGTGACATCATCATAAAAATTAAATTGAAGGATATTTTGGGGATGAAAAAAAAAGACTAAATTAGGTGTATATAACAAAAGCCTATTTAAAACATCTTGTATTTTTTTACGAGTCTCCCGTGTAGGGTTTGATATTATGGACCACTAAAATCAATTGAGTTTATATTAAGGGTGATAAAGTATGTCAATCTATCTAAAGTGGGGAGAAATGGGTTGACCCACCAAAACAATATGATCGAACGGATTGATCATAAAAGAAAATTGGTTAAAAAATGTAACTCACTTCATGATTTGCTATGCCCAGCAAAATCAATATAAATCCTCTATGAGACCCAATCGACTGTTAGACTCAGTTTCGCTTTCATGAAATAATTCTCACTTATTATGTTTTGATTTCCACCTAAACATATGAGAAAAGTTAACCTTATCATCCTAATTTTGATTCTCCATTCTAATTTTCATGAGAATCCTTCATATTGCGCCTTTTGTTGATATTTTTCTTAAAAGAAGAGGCACATTTTATTTTGGTTCAAAAATCAACTAATTGCCCAAAATGATGGGAAAGGATAGTCTTTCTAGACTATAGAGTCCTATCAATCTTGGGGGCCTATACAAGTTGAAAGAATGCAAGCTAAAAAGTTGTATATTAATTTTCTGGACAAGGAATATTTAAATTTGATCATATGATTATAAAGAAAAGAGTAAATTACACTTGTATCTCCTATATTTTTTTCAAGATTGCATATTGTATCTCCTGTATTTTTTTTAAGATTGCATAAGATACTCTTTCATAATTTAGACATAAAGTATGACCCTTTAAAAGTTGAATAGATGTTAATCGATCTCTCTTAACTCCAAATATGAGTGTCATGTGATTGCATATAACTTTTAATGAAATTTTCTTCCTAAAATACCTTGATCTTCTCCAACTTCTCACTCTCCACCTCCTTAACCGCACCATCCTCACTCCCACGCGTCACTCCATCAACCTCCTCTGCCTGGCTAATTACATTTTCTCTACCTAAATCCATGAATTAGAAGTTAAATATTCATTCCTTAGTTACAATAGTTACCAAGTTGGTCTAGTATGTCCCTTGTATATGAAAGATGTGAGAAAATTATTTTGGATTTACCTTTATGTTCGTTCGGCCAGGTTGTTTATTTACTACAATTAGATGTTAAATTTGAGAATTATTAATAATTTAATTGGTTTCTTAATTATGCATTCCTGTTTTTTTTCTTTTGTAGATTTTATGTAAATAATGTTCCTATTAGAGAAGTTAAGCCACCAGGATATATGAGAGGAGATCTCCCCTCAAAGCTAGTGACTTTGCATGCCACCATACAGGAAACATCTGATTAGAGAAACAATGGAGGAAAATATATAGTAATACAGATATGCACCGTATGTTGTTGAGTTCTCCGACCTTGTTTTTCATGGTTGGGCAGTTTATCCCATAGAGCATGTGATGAAGTGTGACAAGGTTCAAAACTCTAAGGCATTTCCTTTTAGGTGTCTCACCAGTGCAAATAAATGGAGAACTTCAGGTTAAAGAACATGACATACTCTTGTTGATATAACAGTCAGATACAAAATCTCTCCACCAAAGTGTGGCTAATAAAATTTGATTTGGTCACATCTGGTGATGGCCATTGCCACCATGGAAAAGGATGCCATCACAGCTTAGAAGTTAGGCAGAGGAGGTTGATGGAGCGGTTAGCAAATGGGAAGCAAGTGGAGGGTAAGAAGTTGGAGAAGGCCACAACATTTTAGGAGGTGCAAGTCACATACATGACACTCATCTTTAGAGTTAGGAGAAATTGATGTAACATCTATTCAACTTTTAAAAGTTTTACTATTTAAAAGTTTTACTATATGTCTAAATTAGAAAAGATTATCAAGTACAATCTTAAAAATAATATAGGAAGTGTAAGTGTAATTTACTCTAAAGAAAAAAGAATTTGATCTAAACAGATAATCATTTTGTTTAATTAATTTATATATGCTTGAATGATTCTAAAAGTTGATTTAGGTAAATGTATAATGGTTGTAAAAGTTTTCTTATTTATCATCTAGGGTCAATCTTTTACAATAGTGATTATACTTTTGTTGTTCATCATCTATGGCAACCAAGTCCTTCGCAACAATGCTATATTAATAAACTAGCTAGGAAAGAAAAAGAGGAAAAGAATAGGGTTACCAACAGAATTTAGTTCCAAGTCTTATCAAATCTAACTAGGTTAACATATTCAAAGGATGAAAAATGAATAGCAATTTAGGGAAAGCAAAGTGTTATGAATGATATCAAATCGTGTATTAACGGAAGTATAATGACATCATGGTCCAAATACTAATATATCAAAATGTGGGAAAGGAGACAATGTTCCAAAAGATCAAAAAAAGGAGTTGAGCTGGATTGCGATAGGTCCTATCCAAATATCCTATACCTAAGTTAACAGTATTTTGAACAAAATGATCCAGTGTCATCAGAAAAATCCCAATCCAATTAATATGTCAAAATACTTGATAAATTCCAATCAAATTCTCATAATATTGTTTAGTCTAATACGTACCATGTGAGTTTGTGTTTGAATTTATATCTTAATTAATTTTGAATCGATGTCAATTTACAAAATTGATTTTGAATAAACATGAATAAAAAATAATGTAATTTTAGCTTGAAAGATAAAAAATATAGGCTTAATATTGAATGTTACTTAAAAAGTTGTTATCAAAATTAATTTTGAGTGTGTAATTATAAATATAGGATAATAAAACTCTAAAATTAATTTTATTTAATAAAAATATTACTTATAATTACTTTCAAGTAAATGTAAGTTTGAACATCTTAAATTCAATTTTGTTAATAGTCAAATATGTAACAAATATAATATAACTTTTGGTGCATCTAAATATATCAGATTATACTTTTGGTACATCTAAATATAGCAGATTATACAATAAAATATACACATGGTTAAGAATGTTACATAGGTGGAAAGGATCCAATACCTCCTTCCAAGCCAAATATCGTTCTTCGGTGGTGTTAAATACACTAGAGCTAGCCATGGTTACTCAGACCATGAAACAATACAAAACATGTATGTATATGTATACTACTACTTTATGTACATATACATGACTTACGATTTGCCTTTCAAAAGAACCTCTAACTAACAAAATTGGGTCAAGAGCCTCTAATAAACCATGTCATCAAGTGGGGGACTCGGCCAGAAGAAGAGTATGCCACCATCCACAAGCAACATTTTTAGGGACACAACCTTCAACGGTGACTTCGGAAGGAATGTTACGGTCAATCACGTCCCCAAGGCCCAGCTGCCACACCCATAATTCCATAAGAAGAATGCTACTAATACAAATAAATGTGCGCATACAGAAATTCCAATAATGTTCACTGTTTAAAATGAGAAATAAAATGAGATACATGTGAAAACTGTAGTGTGATATAAGCACCTGTCCATATTTGTTCCAACCCCAGCAGAAAACTTTTCCACAATCTTGGAAGAACAGAAACAAAAGAAAGAGAACTAATTAGAATCTATTAAAAATTGACAAGCCAATTTACTTATATGTTTTTAATTGCCAATAAAATACAAAATTCAACATCAATTGTACACTAATCCCTGATGACTACTGCAAAAGTATAAGTAAAAACAGTACTGTACTATATGAGTTTGAAGTTCTGCGAGCGATCTAATTCAGTTACACTATGATAGTAAGTTTTGGATCAGGCGGGATTTGGCTAAAACAAATAATATATTTAACCCATTCATGACAAACCCTCTTCATGAATTATTCAGTTTGACTAGCACCACTGTTATTGTGGACTTCACATAATTAAAGAATCTTGTCACTTAACATCACTTCACAGTAGCACCATCACCCCTCACTTTTGACAAAATAAATATGTAAAAGCCTACTTTTTCCACAATTTTCTGCCCAGTTGTCTTGGAAACATGATTATAAAACAAGTGGAAGAATTTTAAGTGCTCATGCTCAGTGCATGATCTACGGCACCTTCCAGATTCTATTAAAAGGGATCCCCTTCAGAGACATCAAAAATGTATTTAATTCTTTAAGGTTTAGAGATGTGTTACGTGACTCGAATAATGGACGCCTAACTCTAACTAGGCAGCTATGAAAATGACAAAAGCAGATCCTTATAGGATGGTATACCTGTTACTAAGGCAGTGTGACGAGCACCGCAAGATATGTTCTTCACACGCAAATTTTCCAAACTCGGAGAATCCACTAGTCTTGGTAGAGTCTGCTTCAAAATCGAAGTTAACACTTAAAAAAAATGAAATTACATATTGCCTAAACTTACAGAATTGTCAATACCACATGCTTAAGGGGTCTTTCAGCGACATCAATTATGATGAGTGTACATTCGCAATACACTGGTGATTGATATATTATAGAATTATGTTTTGTTTTAGTGACTGAGTGGGGAATCTATGGCACTAATTAGGGCATACCTCAGCTTGATCAGCACCAGTTCCCAGCTGCCCAAACTGATTCCCCCCAAATGCATACACATCACCATCAGCAGATGTACAGACTGTATGCCACAGTCCTGCAGCAACTCCGTCTATGTGGATACCCAATAAGGAAGATACACAAGTTGGGCTTAGTTCATCATCGGTAGTTCCTTGTCCACACTTGACCAAAACAAAATGACATGAATAGAGTATAATGAGAATAAGCATGCAATAACCAACAGGTGACAAGAAAGATAAAATATTGTAAAGGAATAGAATAGATAATCCCTTGTTAGAGTGAACCACATGTTCAATATCCACAATGCTTTTGTCCACCATATTCTACTTTACCTACAGATTGATCCTTAAGAATGGTTAAGGGATGATAGTATCCAAGCTGTGCTGTAGATGAATATATTTAAACCAAGTATAGTATAATTTAATTTGATTCATGTACACAATAAATACTCCCACAATATCATGCAAGTCAAAGCACAAAATCTGGTACGAGTTGCAATTCACATTTTTCACAGTACCAAGGAAGTATTAGATTGCAAAATAAAAGGATGTTGGTAACATAACATGCAAAGTGAAGTAATTCTGAGCAAGGTGTACTCCTCCCCATTATCAAAGGTCACCCAATTATCTGATAGAACTGAATGATAAAATGGATGAAAAAGAAGCAAAATTAACTTCACATGAAAATAAATTGAAGGCCAAAGAGAAGCTTGAGAAGAGAGAGTTTAAGTTCAGTGGTTGATATATTTCAGACAGATGCTAGGGTGGACTACCTTGTTAGGTAGTCTACCGTGCACCATTATTTTAAACCATTAGATCAATCTTGTACGCACAATAATATTATGCATCACTTTGGAGAGTCTTACCCTTTATTTTAATTAACCATTGTGCATCTCCATTCTCAACCATTAATCCTTTGTGGGTTACGAAATTAATAAGACCAAATTACAGGAAATGAATGTTGAGATTGGATACTATAGGATGAACACAAAAGCGAGAGAAGCAAATAACAAAGAGAGAGAACAATGAAAGAGTGATGAGAAGGGAGAAAAAAAAAATAGCACAAGAGGTGAATGATATTATTATTATGTGTTCAAGATTCATCTAATGGTTTAAAATAATGGTGCATGATAAACCACTATAAAGATAGTCTACTGTGCCACTTGTCTATATTTCATATCAAAAAGAAAATTATGTGCAATACTCTTGTTAAAAATTAATTTTTTGCTTACAAAATCATTTACCCAACAGAAAAAGAACGTAGTAAATCAGAGCAAAACACATCCACATGCTGAACCAAAAATCTCAATTTCTTTTCCAAATTAGCATTTTTCCAAAGGAAAATAGTTCTTCTTTTTTTTGCCTTTTGCTATTGTTAAGCTTAAATTTCCTTTATAAATATTTATTTAACCTTATATCCTGTTTTATGTTGATTTCTCTTAGAAATTTAGGATAAGACTTTAACTGCATTGCTCACACGTACCCGTCCTAATCATCCATTACCCAACACCTACAATAATGGGTTACAACTTACAAACCCCTCCCCCTGGGTTGATTATCTAGCAAGTAGCAAGAATAAAAAATAAATCCTCTTCCTGAAAGATAAAATTTCTTTTCATCTATGTTTCTTTTCAAGGTGCCTATGAGGTGAACTTCATGGCATGCTCCTATAGGTATTTAGCACCAGATCAGGATTTTCTAATTTTAGAAATTAAGAACCATGCAAGCAAAGTACAGGCTTGCATAAATCAGAAGATTTTATGTACAATAGATACTGACAAAAATTGTTAAAAAGGACAAGTTCTGCATCTTTGATCCATTATAGCATGCCCACTACAACAATAGCCTTTGCTAGGAGCCATAAAAATAAATTGGGAATATGCTGCTGACAGTATACAATTACAAATTCAGCAAGTTTCGTTGCCAAATAGAATATGCACTTGCAGTCGTACAAAATCTAAAAAATATCTCAATTCACCTTAAATTTTACCTGTCCATAGAGTCCCCAACCAAAAGTAAGCATGGCTCCAGCATCTGTCAGTTCAACAGATAGATATTCCAATATTAATATATACAAAATTAACCAACAATAAAATATAAGATCTTTTAGAAACAAAATGAGCTTACTAAGCAGTTTCTATATTGTAAAAATTCAACTTATAATCTAGTATCCAGAAAGGAAATATTAATTATAGATCATTACTTTCACAAGTTTATGGATCTTTTGTTACGATATTATTTCCCCTTCTCAACAAATCATCCAATTCTTGGCCAGACCATTCCATCCATTAAGAAATTAGTTTTCTCCTTCTAAACACCTTTAAGTACCACATTTGATACCAGGTAGGTAAATTGCAACATTATAAACAAAGCATGTGGATATTCTCACTTTAGATTCTTCAAACAGAGTAACTAAAATGCAGGAAGTCCAGTTGAGTTGCTGAATAGACCACACATATGTACCTGTTATTACTGCACTATGTCGACCTCCACAAGCAATTCTCTTTATATAACTTCCAGGAACTCTAAAATTATGTCCCTCTGAACCTAGGCTTCCTCGAGCCAATGTTGCAGATCTATCTTTACCATAATAAGAGGAATCAATACAAGGAACAAGATGAGGAGATGAAACCATGCGTATTCTGGAACCCAAACCAAGCTGTCCTTCCCCTCCATAGCCCCAGGCCCACACCAGTCCTGTATCTGGAGCGCCAAGAAAGTCAGAATTGATGATAAATCTTAGACATCAAAATTGATGCTTCAACCAAACAATGACACAATGGGGAGAAAATAACATATAAAAACTTATACTTGGGTTTTAAAATAGTCCTTAACCAGGTCTGTACCTGACAATGCAAGTGTATGGCGTCCACCAGCAGCAACACTAGCTATCCTTATCCCTGGGTTTAGTGTGACAAGACAAGGAAATGCTGTCAGACTATCATCACTGGACGACGAACTTTCAGCTGTTTGCTTTGCTGAAGACACTCTCCTTCTCTTTGTACTTTCTTCTCCACTGTTACTGGAGGCAGTACCTCCGGTAGATCTTGAGCCTTGAGAACGAGGGCTCACTATTGCAAAATAACTTTACATCAGTCACGAAGAACAAGGGCTCACAGTCCCCCCAGGGAGGGATCACTGGAGGCAGTACATCCAGGTGGGGAATGAGTGTTCATCATAGAGGGGTAAACCATTAAAAAAAATAATCTTCTTTCTATTTGGGTTGCAAAGAGTCTATCCTATATAACCCACTCCCTTTTTGGTGCACCTTGGCTTGCTTAGACCACTCCTTGGGAGGGACAGCTAGCTGTACATAAACGGTCATTGTAAAGAGGTTAAACATACCTTGCTCTGTTGAAAATGGACTGTGCCTTCCTGGCACATCTTTTTCAAGACTTACCCCTGTTGATGGTTCACCAAATACCCTCCCAGAGGGAATACATTCTTTCCATCCCCATGTATAAACTTCTCCATGTTCTGCAAAGGAAAAACAAAACATATTTTTCAATAGTACTCTAAATAAAACTTTACTTAATGGACAACACGGAAAAACTCTTTCCGAGTTGGATGATATTGCGGAGACATTTTGATGGGTTGGTCATTAGAGCATTAGATAATAGATACATGTAAAAAGCCTGCTAGAAAGATAAAACTATAGGTTGTATTTCAGTCTAGGCCTTCTCCTCTCATTCTCATCATCTTGTTTATTCTTCTTTTTCTCTAAGGCAGTCAAGGTAAGGAAATCCACCTTACCTGTTACAGCGACACAATGAGCCCATCCTGCCGCAGCTTTTACAATAGAGGCTTCAGTTGGAAGAGGGAAAGGCTCTGGAGTTTCCTTTACAAAATAAACTACAAAAGTTAGTTTGTTGACAAAGAAACAGGAGATAAAAAGAGAGACATCAGGATCATTCTATTCTATATATAGTTGGCATTACCCCATGCTTGCCAGAAGTCAAATAGCTTTGGCCTAGATCATCCGTTGAGCCCCATGTTATGAGCTTCAGTGACT